GAAACCAGTTGTTTGTACGGCTAGAGCCACCATGCTGGGGGTTTCCAAAATCACTGCTTTTGACCAAAAGGAATGAATGGATATATCACATATAAGGAATGAATGAAAACCCAGATCATGTAAAACACTTGTCAATATGAGAATCTACATAAAACAATTAATGAAAAATGTTTTTAATATCAGGATCTTGTGCAAATTTATCTTTTCCCTACCTAATATACAGAAAGAAACTGAAAAGAGCTTCCTGGTGAAGTGAACAATGTAAACTATTATTAGTGGACATGAAAATACCATGCATCTGCAGCTAATGGTCCTAAAAGATTGCCATTGTTCTCTCTCTGCTAAAATTTGTCTTAAAATGGATGCGGTGCTCCAGTTGACCATTTTTATGTTTGTCATATGCGTCTTGGTTTCTCTTCACTATTCCTAGCCACTTTGGATGGTCTTCTTAGAGTCTTCCTTTCCTTCCTGAGGCTGGGGTGTGCATGTTTTTCATTGATTTGACCATCCCTGCTTCTTTTTGGGTAAGGATCACTTTTACCTCCATGTTTGTGTCTGTCTTTATGAGGATGGTAGAGATGATAATAATCAGTGCCTGATTCAATATGACTATGCTTGCGAGGCTCATGGTGAGCATGGTGCCTTCCTTCTTGCTTATGATACCTGTGGAGACGAATTTGAGATCGACCAACATCTGTCCTATACTTCGGATCAAAATAATCTCTCCGCTTCCCTGCCTTAGCTCGGTCATCCCACCAGTCGTAGATAGGGTCAAAAAGTCCCTTTTGATGTAAAAGCCAAAGAAGCACAACCACTGCAACTCCGAATATAGTTTATATGCTTTTGTTCCATTTTATAAAGGAAATCTTAACAAGATAGAGAAATAAAAAGAATTACCAGTGGGAAAAATCGCCAACAGTAAACCAAACATTAGTATCCAAGTCATACATATATATTGTATGTGGCAGCTGAAATCAAAAAATCCTGAGCATTTCCTTCTGCTCACAGTAAAAAGTCACAGGAATACAAGTAGTCAGTCAATTAGCATAATCCAGAAGCAAAGGAAATACAAGACCTTTAAGAGGCATTGTAATGCTTTTTTTAATTATGCAATATTCCCCCCCTCCAAAAAAACCTCCACAAATAGAGAAATATCTATAAGAATTTAATTTTCAAGAATGTGGCATTGTGTTTGAAAATTACTTGGGAGGAAACTATTAAGAAATCATTGTATTTCCATGATGTGATATGGTAATGACGTGAGTGAAACTATGATTTTCCATTTCCTGGAGAACGTCCAGGCATGGAAGAAATATAACGATCTCCACTTTAAGGGAGGAGATGAAGGGATCAAAAACAATATTATACTATTCTTTTTAGTAATAATTTTCTATTTGACGTCTTTATCTTGAGGGCAGTGTCAATCTGATTCATCTCATACAATAAACTGCATTTACTTTTTTTGTTCCCTGTATACATAGACAGATTTGGGGAGAGGCCAGTGGATCAGTTCTAAGGCTTGAATTGTTTTCCCTATGAACTGCAATCATAGTTGTCAAGGTGACGCCTAGGCAACAAGGTGACCTTTGAGGCTTGCCTTGCCTAATCGCCAAGCAGTTTTCAACTTCCTACTATAAAATACTTTTTATTCATTCTTTATTGAGATTACAATTATAAAATAGACATTATTAAACTAAAATAATCATTTTATGTTTATACACTACTACTGCTACTACTACACTACTACTACTATTACTACTATTACTACTACTATTACTACGACTACGATTACGATTACCACTACCACTACGACTCCCACCACCACCACTAGTACCACTACCACCACTACCACCACTTCCACTACCACTACTACCATTACTACGACCACGACCACTACGACCACCACTATCACTACCACTACCACTACCACTACCATTACCACTACCACTATCACTATCACTACCACTACCATTACCACGACCACTACGACCACGACCACTACGACCACTACCACTACCACTACCACTACCACAACCACAACTACTACCACCACGACCACTATGACCATTACCACTACCATGACCACAACCACTATGACCATTACCACTACCATGACCACGACCACGACAACGACGAATATGACTACGACTACGACTATGACTATGACTATGACTACGACGACGACTACCACTACTACCACTACTACCACAACCACTACCACTACCACTACCACTACGACGACGACTACTATGACTACGACTACGACTACGACAACGACGGCGACTACGACTACGACTACGACAACGACGGCGACTACTACGACTACTTCCACTACTACTACTACTACTACTACTACTACTACGACTACAACTACTACGACTACGACTATGACTACTACTACCACTACCACTACTACTACTACTACGACTACAATTACACTACCACTACCACTACTACTACGACTAATACCACGACCACTAGTACTACTACTACCACTACTACTACTACTACTACTACTACTACTACTACTACTACTATTACCACTACCACTACTACTACTACTACCACTACTACTAATACTACCACGACTACAACTACTACTACTACTACCACTACTACCACTACTACTACTACTACTACTACTACTACTACTACTACTACCACGACTAGTACTATTACTACTACTACCACCCCCACCACCACCACCACCACTACTAC